CAGTTTAAATGTATTTGTCAAAATCAAAAATGATTATAATCTTTGAATGTCAATCTAATGAACAATAAAATTAGTTAATCTGACGAAGATAAGTATTATCGTTATAGATTATCGACGAAATACTAAAGTCAATTAATTACTTCTTCCGGTCATATGATGAGAAAATTTTAGGAAATATGAGTCATGGATATACTTAACGAAGTTACGAGATTTTTTTTTTGCATTATTATATTGAAATTTTTTTTCTAAAATCATTTTTTCTTAATATCGATCATATTATTTTTTTTTTTTTTTTTTTTTTTAAAAACAAAAAAAAAAAGGATGCATGCTGATCAATATATTTAAGTCGCTTCTTTTTTTTTTGCGATAGTATAAATCTGTATGATTCATTAAGTTGTGATACATACATTATTGCTTTCTTAAAAAACCCTTCACTTATCTTTTTTCGCTAACCGTACCGTCTACCCTTCCTTTCTACTCCAATACCTCTGCTTATTAATAATATTCATTTTACTTTTACTATTTTAAAACATTATGGATGTTGTTAAGTTAGTAAGTTACTAATTAAAGAATGATGCTCGATTTTCAAAATGATGTATTTAAATTGGGTTTCTATTTAAAATTCCAATATCGAAATTTATGTACTAAACTTTATTTATGATTTATAACAAAAAAAAAAAGTTTGTGAAACAAATAGAATTTGATACAGAAAATCATATAAGAATAGTTTTCATACTAAGAATGGGAATGTAAACTAGATCTACTGATTTGTAAAATTACAATTTAAAAGGAATACAATTTTTTTTTTTTATTGTTTTCTACAATTTTTTTTCTTTATAAAAAGGAACTGGTTTTTATCTACTCTGAATTTAAGAATCCAAGCTTATTTGCTAACATTCACCAAAAAAAAAAAAAATAAAACTCAACAAACTCAACTTCTCAAAGAAATCATCATCATGAACCGAAAATTTATTTTAGCATTCCTCTTATTGGTCACGCTCTCCATGGTCAATGCACTTCCACATAACCTTCTTAGAAGAGCCATCGGCTTTACACAATGTCCCCCACCAGAAGGTTCAATAACCCAACCACCCTTTCTCCAAGTAACACTTTCACCCGAAGTTCCTGTCGCTGGACAAAAGGAAGAAGTTACGATTTCCGGAAAATTTGCGGAAGATATCACCGAAAGTACCGAAATTGCGATTGCATTTGTTGATATGGGTCGAACTCCCTTAGCAGATCCAGCTAAATTTCCTGCTTGTACTGGAAGTGGATGTTCAATTAAAGCTGGTGAGCAGTATACCAAAACGGTAGAAATTCAAGCACCAGATAGTATACCTAATTTGTCCTTTTTGATGATTGCTATGGGTAATTCAAATACTGATGTTATAGGCTGTGCATATGCCGAAGTTTAATCTAATCTATTTTTTTCATTAACAACTCATTTTAATAGTAATATTTAATCAATAGTTTCTAATATTTAATAATTTCTAGAAAATAAAGTTATAGAATTACGTTTATTTTAATTCTTTATATAGTATTGGTCACTGATTATATAAATAAAATTCAAAGAATCTTTACAATTATTATTCTTATATTCGGTTTTATAATTATATGGCTCGCAATAAATGTTGTCTATTATTAATGCAAAAAAAATATTATTTTCACGTATTGATGATTTTATCAAAAAAAAAATATCCGCTGATAAACTACTACTTAATGATGTCAATTTATTAGATGCTTTATTAATCTCGCTTTAACCCTATTTAACACAATTGAAAATTCCGCATTTGCAATTAAATTATTATTTCTTTATCCTCAAAATTTCGGATTCTATTACAGCATTTATACCATTATTATATCTTTCTTCCTTTATCTATCTAATATCGTATATTCAAGACAAATTTAAAAACTTTCGCGACTATATTCAAAAAATTTTACCCAAAATAATTTATACAACCAGAAATACTTTCTACCGCAAGAAAATAACAGAAATTTAATACTAAATTGTTTATTTCGTAAAATATTTATAAAAAGTTTCATTTAATTAAAGATTATTCATAAACCTTTTCATAACTATCAAGATAATATATAATATTGGGCATTTAATCAATATTGTTTATCGAATATTTGATTTTTTTTATTTATTTTTCTCCCTTTTTTTTATTTTTAAGCAATTTCTTTTAACAACAAATGAAATTTTTTACTATAGACTTCTTTTTTTCGTTTATTATCATTTATATTATGTTCAATGGCGATGATAAATCTGAATTACGCCCCATCCTATATTTTTTTTTGATCCGCATTGTATCTTTTTATGTAACAAAACTCATTTTTCATTTTGTATTTGCGGATTATACAAGAAATACAAAATAATTTTTATAGAAAGTGATACTAGTTGTATAAATAATTGAGCAAGCCAGTATGTCGAACAAGAATTCTAATTTCTTTACTGTGTCGTACCCAACTGTATCTGTTTCAAGTAACTCTCATTATTTTTTTGATCATTTTTTGCAGATTCCAAGTTGTACAATTCAAAAATGAAGTTAGCAACATCTTTTGTAATATATTTATCTAAATAATATTCACACAATTGCAATCAATAAATGCAATTGATTATTCCTACTAGATAAGCAATACTTGTTTTAAGAAATAAAATATACTATACTCATGTTATATACATTGTGGGGAATCTAGTTTTGTTCACATGACCATGATCAGCAGAGTGAACCAATAAAAAAATTTTTGACTAAAAAGTGGATTTCCCCCTTTTCGAAAATGTTAAAATTTCTCGTAATTAATAAATTAAACCGAAAATTTATAAGATTAGATGAAACAATTCTATGAATGTAGACATTAAAAAAAAGATGTTTATCGATGAAGTTATTTTTATAAATTGTTATATTCTCCTATTTCCATATAATCTAGGCTAAAGATAAATAAGATACAAAAATTAATTAAAAATCCTCCTTGTTATGTAAGGAAATTTTAAATGTTATGAACCAATTTGAACTTTATGAATTTGCGCCTTTTTTATTTTTATTCCTCATTCATTTTTTTAGTTTTTCGCCTTCAATAACTAGCTCAGAAATCTATGAAAAAAAAACCAAGTTAATAGAAAATCAATATTAAGACAGCATTCCTAATAAACATTTTCAAAGATAAACCTTTTCCTTGAACTTTAACAAAATATGATCATTCAAAATATTACACACCTAATAAAGACTTTTCCAAAACGTTTTTCTCGTTCGTGTATGATGGGATGGTAACGGTCGGTCGTGGTCGGTCAACGGTCGGTCAAAGTTTGACCGACCGACAGGTTTAACTGACCGATTTTAACTGAACGGTTAACCTACCGGTTAATAGTAAAATAATTGAACAGTTTTGGCTTAATAGAAAGTTAATTTAGACTATAATTTTGATTTTTGCTTTAACAATTCTAGTATGGCATTTTTAAAACTACTTTGTCATTTTTAATTAGTGGCGCAGCATTATCGCGGACTTTAATTTTTTTTTTTACAATTTCAAAATTTTAATTCATAGATAATTAATATAAATTGATGATTTTAATAAAAGCATTTTTACATTTAAAACATGGTTGTTCAGTCTCAAGTCAGTGAGTCAATCGCGGTCACGGTTATGATCTGTTATGACCGATCATGACCATGACCATTAGCATTAAGAATATTAAATTTCCACTTATGGGCTTTTTAAAAACATTTGGTAATAATCTATCTGAGGATGTTAAATCTTTAAGTAAACAGCGTTCAAATCGTAATTGAAAACAATCAAAGAGCGAAAGTGGCGCAGTATAGAATTACGCCATCGAGATACCGAAGATACAAACTTTACGTAAAATTCAACAAGCTTTCTCTCGATCAAATTCTACCTTCGATTCCCATTATAATAAGAAATGAATTCAACGTTTAACGATCGAAACAAACTTACGATTATTTACTTTTTTTTGATTTCGAAACTTACTTTTTAATTTGTAATTTAAATTATGTTTTGTATGATTTTAAATTTATTGATAATAATAATTGTTATGAAACTAAAAATGGTTATGGATTTGGCCCGAGTTAAATATTCTATTTATTTTAACTAGAGTTTACGGCTGCGAAAAACTTCGTCCCCATTAGTAATAGTAATCGAACACCAGGGAATTCGATAAAAAAAAAAAAGCTAACTTCAGGATTTATCTTTTAAAATCAATTCTACAAAATATTAAATTAAATAAATAAAGAAAAACTATGATTTTTTATGAAATACAAATCGAACTTTTATTCTAATTCTTTTTGTGAATAAGGGAGGCGTCGATCATAAAGCGTTATGATTTTCTTCTTGCGTCAATTTTTTTTTTAATTTCTGGTTCGGGTTACAATTAATTAACTTTATTCTAATTTAAGAAATAATATTCATTATTATAAT